CCTCGAAAACCGGAGGGGGGGGGGTACCGGTTCGAACCCCTCCCCACCTCCCCTCTCACCTCCAGCAAACGACTCCCGGTCCCTACCACCGTCCTCACCACATCCCCCACTGTTGTTCCCAGCGCCACTGTCCTCACCACCACTGTCCCCACTGGTTCCACCACCGCCCCTACTGTCCACACCAGTGCCACCACCACTGTCGCACTGTCCCCCACTGTCCCCACCACTGTTCCCACCACGGTTCCACTCTCCCAACTTTCTCCACGACTATCCCCACTGTCCCCACTGTCCCACTGACTCCTCCGCTGTCCCACTGAGCTGTCCCACTGTTCCCACCACTGTCCCCACTGTCCCCACCACTGTCCCCACTATACCTCTGTCCCATTTTCCCACCGCCGTCCTCGCCACCGCCTTCACCACTGTCCCCACCACCACTGTACCCTCCACTGTCCCACTGTTTCCACCACATTCCCACTGTCCCCACACCACTGTCCCCACCACCACCGTCCCCTCCACTGTCCCACTGTCCCCACTTTTTCCACCATTGTCCTCACCATTGTCCCCACCACTACCGTCCCCACCACTGTCCCACTGTCCCCACCACTGTCCCGTTGTCTCCTCACCACTGTCCCCACCACCACCGTCCCCACCACTATCCGCACCACCCATCGGTTTTCGAGGGGGGGGGGGGTTCGAACCCGTAGTGACCGACCCCCCCCCGGTTTTCGAGTTCGAGGGGGGGGGGGGGAGGGGTTCGAACCGGTAGTGACCCCCCCCCCTTTTCATGATGAACTGGGGGGGGGGGGAGGGGTTCGAACCGGTAGTGACCCCCCCGGTTTTCCAGGGGGGGGGGGAGGGGTTCGAACCGGTAGTGACCCCCCCCGGTTTTTCCCGCCAGCAGCGGTAGAAACACGCTCTTTTTGATATATGGTCCCGCGTTCTTCTCCTCCTCCTCTCTCCCTCCTCCTCCTCCTCCTGCCTCCTCCTCCTCCTCCTCCCCCTCCCCCTCCTCCCTCCTCCATCACCATCATCATCATCATCACCATCATCGTCATCGTCGTCATCATCATCATCATCATCATCATCATCATCATCATCATCATCATCACCACCCGTTTCAGCACACCCCTCACACGCTTCGTGGCCCCATCGGGAGCCCCACCGAAGGTCCCAATGCTACCGTCCGCATGCGTCCCGCACACCCAGTACAGCGTTTCGTGGCCCCAAAGGGAGCCCCAGCGAAGGTCCCAGTGCTACCGTCCGCATGCGTTCCGCACACCCAGTACAGCGTTTCGTGGCCCCATAGGGAGCCCCAGCGAAGGTCCCAGTGCTACTGTCCGCATGCGTCCCGCACGTCCAGTACAGCGTTTCATGGCCCCATAGGGAGCCCCACCGACGGCCCCAATGGGACCGTCCGCATGCGTCCCGGAACACACAATTTGGCATTTTTGCTCACCGAGTACAGTGTTTCGTGGCCCCATAGGGAGCTCCACCGAAGCCCCCAGTGCCACAGTCCGCATGCGTCCCGGAACACCCAATTTGGCATTTCCACCCACCCAGTACAGCGTTTCGTGGCCCAATAGGGAGCTCCACCGAAGCCCGCAATGCCACCGTCCGCCTGCGTTCCGAAAACGCGATTTTGCATTTTCATTCAATCTTGCATATTCACACACCCAGTACAGCGTTTCGTGGCCCCATAGGGCGCTCCACCGAAGCCCGCAGTGGACCGGCCGCATGCGTCCCACACACCCAATTTGGCATTTTGACTTGTATAGCGTTTCGTGGCCCCATGAGGAGCTCCACCGAAGCCCCCAGTGCGACCGCCCGCGTGCGTCCCACACACCCAATTTTGCATTTTCCCTTGCCCAGTACAGCGTTTCGTGGCCCCATGAGGAGCTCCACCGACGCCCCGAGTGGGAGCGCCCGCATGCGTCCCACACACCCAATTTGGCATTTTCGCTCACCCAGTACAGCGCTTGGTGGCCCCATAGGGAGCTCCACCGACGGCCCTAGTGCTACCGCCCGCATGCGTTCCCTCCCACCCAGTGCAGCGCTTCGTGGCCCCATGGAGCTTCACCGAAACCCTCAGTGGGACCGCCTGTATGCGTCCCACACACACCAATTATGGCATTTTCACTCACCCAGTAAAGCGCTTTGTGGCCCCATGGGGAGCTCCACCGACGGCTCCAGTGCTACCGCCCGCATGCGTTCCCCCCCACCCAGTGCAGCTTTGTGGCCCCATCGGGAGCTTCACCGAAGAAGGTATTCACAATTGCGGTACCCACAACTGCATATGGTTGGGTCAATTTTTCAATTGAAATGCCCTTCACCCTCTTACTTAAAGTCTTCCTCTTCAAATTGCGGCCCTGGCCCCCGAACTTCAACAACGGCTTCCGCCTGATAGTTCCTCACAATTTATACCCAAATCGCGCTCTCGCGCGGGACTTCCTTACGATTTATTCAGGAATCGCGTTCTCGCGTGGTACTTCTTTGCAATTTGTTCAGACGCCGCGCCCTCGACATCAGTAGTCATGCTCTCGCTGTGGATTTCCTCACGATTGATTTGGGAATCGAGCTGTCGCTCGAAACCTCCACGCGATTCATGCAGGACGCACGCTTCAGCAACCCGCCTGGTCGAACTGGCCGCCTGGGCCCTCCTTCCCGACCCACCTGGTAGGGTGTACCCGCCCGATCTGCCCGTCTGGTTCTGCCACGTGTTTTCTGCTCCTAGCTCCCCTCCCAGTCACTCTCGTCCTCTATCCTCCTCCCTCCCCCTTGTCCCTTCCTTCCATCCGTCCTCTCTTCCCCTGCTTCAGGGGCTGCGCGAAATTCATGTTGCAGGTAAGAAAGGTAAATCCCGAAGGGGCTGCGGTCGAAGACGACGAGGGCAGGTATCGAGGGTTTGGGATGTACGTGTAAAGTGGAACGCGAGCATATAAGAACGACCTGTCTTAAAATGATTGTTGTTGTAGTTATAGTTGTAGTCGTCGTCGTCGTCGTCGTCGTCGTCGTCGTCGTCGTCGTCGTCGTCGTCGTTGTTGTTGTTGTTGTTGTTGTTGTTGTTGTTGTTGAATTCTCATTTCTGAAGAATAATTATTGTTGATCCCTCCCACCGGTGCATACTGTTTTTTCTCAATCATAGTGTGCCCCTCGACGCTCGCACCCTGTTTTTTGACAGGGGAAGTCTTCCTGCTCAAACTGGGCCCCTGGCCCCCGGGTTACAACAACAACGGCTCCCGCCTGAGACTTCCTTGCAATTTAGCCAGGACCCCCGCTCCCGCCCGAGACTTCTTCGCATTTTATTCAGAAATACGCGTTAACGGACACTCGAGCAGATAAGAGCGAACAGTCTGAAAGTGATTGTTGTTGTCGTTGTCGCAGCTTTGAAGAATAATTATTGTTGATCCCCCCCCGTCCGGTGCACATTGTTTTTTTCGATTGGAGTGCCCTTCCCGGGGATCGCACCTTGTTTTTTATCAGGGAAAGTCTTGAGGGTCAAAATGTGTCGTTGGCCCCCGGTTTACAACAACAACGGCTCCCGCCTGAGACTTCTTCACAATTTAGCCAGGACCCCCGCTCCCGCCAGAGACCTCCTTGCGTTTTATTCAGGAATTTTGCTCTCGCTTGGGACTTCCTTAGAATTTATTCTCCCGGCGCTCTGGAGTCGCGCTCTAGTTGGAGACTTGCTTGCAATTTACTGAAGAATAGCGCCCTTGCGTTGGAATTTCCTGCAATTTACTCAAGCGCCGCGCTCTGGACAACCAGGCACCCAGGAGTCGCGCTCACGCATAGGACTCCCTCACATATTACATAGGAATCGGGATCTCGCTGCCCTTCGTGGCCCCGTTGCAGCCCTTCGTGGCCCCCTCGCTTTTATTCGTGTCCCCGTTGCAGCCCTTCGTGGCCCCCTCGCTGCCTTTTGTGGCCCCGTTGCAGCCCCTCGTGGCCTCCTCGCTGCCCTTCGTGGCCCCGTTGCAGTCCTTCGTGGCCCCCTCGCTTTGTTTCGTGGCCCCGTTGCAGCCCTTCGTGGCCCCCTCGCTACCCTTCGTGGCCCCGTCGCAGCCCTTCGTGGTCCCGTTGCAGCCCTTCGTGGCCCCATATGCATGCCCTTCGCGGCCCCGTTGCAGCCCTTCGTGGCCCCCTTCGCTGCCCTTCGTGGCCCCATATATGTATGCCCTTTCTGGCCCCCGCTCGTTCGCGCCCGTGGTGGCTCCATATGCATCTGTCCTACGTGGCCCAGTTGCTACCCTCAGTGGCCCCATCGTTGCCTTCTGTGGCCCCGCATTATCTGCCCTTCGTGGCCCCCGCTCGTTCGCGCCCTTCGTGGCCCCATACGCATTCCCTTCGTGTCCCTGCTGTTGCCCTTCGTGGCCTACTTCGTGTTCTTGTGGCCCTGCTGTCGTTCTCTTTCGCTCTCGCTTTCGCTCGTCGTCGTGGTCGCCGTCGTCGTCGTCGTCGCCGTCGCCGTCGTCGTCGTCGTCGTCGTCGTCGCGGTCGGTACCCTGTCCGTCCCTGTTGGGGTCGGGTCGAAGGTCCGCGGCCGCCCCGCCGATCAGCGCTGCCGCTGGCCAGGCCGACGGTCCGCGGCCGCCCCGCCGCTTGCCGGGGCCCGGTCTGCAGGGAAGAAAGGTATACCCCCCAAAAGGGGTTCGATCGAAGACGAAGAGGGCGGGTATCGAGGGTTTGGGAAATAGGCGTTATTGGACACTCGAGCAGATAGGGGCGAACAGTCTTAAAATGATGGTTGTTGGTGTTCTCGTCGTCTTCGTCGTCGTCGTCGTCGTCGTTGTTGTCGTTGTTGTTGTTGTTGTTGTTGTTGTTGTTGTTGTTGTTGAACATTATTTATTCTAAAGAATAATTATTGTTGGGCCCCCTGGTGCGCGCCCCCCCTGCGCCGCCTAGGCCGCAGCTACATTTTCATCATTTTCGTGAGGAAGCCTCAGAAAAGAGGGTGTGTACAGGATCCGGTTGTTTTGTTGTAATCCGCTTTCCCTTGCAAAAAACAATAGAAAATGACATTTCTTGTTCTAATATAATCAAATTTCAAGAATCCCTTGCAAAAAATAAGGTAAAGTGGACATTCGCGCGCGCAAGACGAAATCCTTCCAAAACCTTAGTGTTCGGAGCGATTTTAACATAAAAACATCAAAAAACCAATGGTTTTTCAACAAAAAAATGTCAAAATCTCATCCCGCGCGCTCTTGCGGATTCGTAGGAAACCCAACACTTTTTAAACATTTCTGTCAAACGGGCTTTTGCGAGCAACTTTTTCGAACTTCTGCGACAACGGTTGCGCACCTGCCAGGGCCATCATCCCTGTCAAATAATACCATGCGGGACACATTCGTTTTTTCTTCGCGCGCGCACGCCGAAATCTCCAAAAACCATTGGGCTTCTTAAGAATTTTAGCACCGCGCATCATAAAATCACACGAATCGCACCGTAGGTCCTCGAAAAACACCTGCACGACTTTTCAAAATTTCTACCCGCGCGCGCTGTCCGAATCCTAAAAAAACCAATGGTTTTCCAACATTTATGTTACATGAGCTCGCGCGAGCTACTTTCGCACGCTCTTGCAACGGGGTTCGCGCGCCTGCCAGGGGCCACAATCCCTTGCGGTTGCGCCATAGGTTGCGCCCTCGGCCGCCGAGAATAAAACGTCCCCCTATCTTGTGAGTACGTATCGTGTGTATCATGTGTATCATGTACCATATGCATCATATGCAACAGATGTTCTGTGGAAGGCTTAACAACTTCTGTGGGTTAACAAGGCTTAACAACTTCTGTGGGTGTACGAACGTAGGCTTAACAACTTCTGTGGGTGTGTACTCCACGCCAGTGTAGTAGCCACGGTCGTCCGCAGGCCACGAAGTGAAGTGTCCGAACGTCATAGGGCGGGAAGCTGGGTGTGGGTGGTGGCGAAGAGTCGTGTGGATATTTGGTAGAGCTTGCACTGCCCCCCCACAAAGTGGGGGTATTGGCTGGCGTCGCATGAAAACCCTGGCACTGGTGAGAACACTGAGCGTTCGGGTAAAGTGATTGTTGTTGTTGTTGTTGTTGAACATTATTACTTCTAAAGAATAATTATTGTTGGGACCCCTGGTGCACGACCCCCCTCCAAAACCTAGGCCGCAGCTACATTTTCATCATTTTTTCGCGAAAGCTTCAGAAAAGTGGATTGGTACCGGATCCGGTTGTTTTGTTGTAATCCGTTTTCCCTTGCAAAAAACACTATAAAATGAAAATTCTTGTTCTTACTTGATCAAATTGCAAGAATCCCTTGCAAAAAATAAGGTAAAGTGGACATTCGTGCGCGCAAGACGAAATCCTTCCAAAACCTTAGGTTTCGTAACCATTTTAACATAAAAACATCAAAAACCCAATGGTTTTTTTAATAAAAAATTGTCAAAATGTCCTTCCGCGCGCTCTTGCGGATTCGTAGGAAAACCAACACTTTTTAAACAATTTTGTCAAACGGGCTTTTGCGAGCAACTTCTTCAGGTGCTTTGAACTTCTCCAACAACGGTTGCGCGCCTGCGAGGGCCACCATCCCTTGCAAAAAATGAGACGAAGTGCACATGCGCGCGGCCGCCGCGCGCGCATGTCGAAATCCTGCCAAACACGCGCGTTGGGCACTGAGAGTTAGGATCATAGCGCCATGAGTCTATGAGCAATGCATGCGTCATCCTTGGGACTGTATAACATCAGTGTAACACATGTACTTCTGTAATCGCATCCCCACGAATTTGCCCCAAAAATGTGACCAACTATCTTGGCACTGCGTACCATCTCACGTGTACCGTGTACCACATCATATGTAACAGATGTGATCAACCTCTGTGGGTGTGTACCCCACGCCAGTGTAGTAGCCAGGGTCGTCCGCACGCCACGAAGTGAAGTGTCCCAACGTCATAGGGCGGGAAGCTGGGTGTGGGTGGTCTCGAAGAGTCGTTTGGATATTTGGTAGAGCTTGAACGGCCCCCCCACGAAGTGGGGGTATTGGCTGGTGTCGCAAGAAAACCCTGGCACTGGGGAGAACACTGAGCGTTCGGGTAAAATGATTGTTGTTGTTGTTGTTGTTGTTGTTGTTGTTGTTGTTGTTGTTGTTGTTGTTGTTGCTGTGGTTGCTGTGGTTGATGTTGTAATTGTGCTGCCTCAGTTCGCCACGGATGCAGCCCTCCGTTTGCTTGGCCGCCTGTTGGACCCAACCAGCCGCAGACCGCACAGGACACATTCTTGTGCAGGTTCGGTTCTCCCTCGGCCGGCCCCGCGGCCGCCCCGCTGCGGAGGTGACCATGCTGCGGCGCGGCCCGCAGAACGGGGGCGCGGCGGCGCAGCCGCAGGTGACCGAGCGGCCCGTGCAGGCCGGCGCGGCCTGGCCCGCGCGGGGCCGGGGGCCCGCAGTGCACCGCGGGGGCCGGGGGCCCGCAGTGCGGCAGGTTCGCGCCGCCTCGACGCGGCGGCAGGCCCGGCCTGGCCTCCAGACGCCCGAGATGGCTCCATCCGAAGATGGCTCTCGGGCGCCCGAGATGATTTCCAGACTGCCCAGGAGGCCCCCAGGAGGGCCCCCAGGAGGACCCCAAGAGACCCCCCCAAAGGGTCCCCGAGACGCCGCAACCACCGATCGTCCATCCTTTGTTGAAGGATTCTAGTGTTCTCGCCTTTTCGGGGCTGCAACGCCCCAAGACGGCCCAAGAGTCCCCCAAGATCGCCCCCAATCGGCCCAAGAGGCCCCCAAGAGGGCCCCCAGACGGCCGAAGAGGGCCCCACGAGACCCCCAAGAGAGGCCCATAGGAAGACGTATTTACGTATCCGTATCGTCGGCCTCGCGGGCCGGGCCCCTGGGCCGCGACCACTTGGACACGGAGCGTCTTCTTCGTGGACGCCCCGCGCGGAACGTGCCCGTGCGACCGCGCATCCACCACATCGCGCCTCGAAATTCAGACCGCGAGGGCGTGGATGTGGGCAAGGTCTGCCGCTCGAGAGTTCAAGGCTGAGCTCCGCCGGAGGCCTGGAGTCGGCAGATAATCGAGCGATCTGCGCGGTCGGAGGGCCGCGGGCGCTCGCGGTGTTATGCGGTGTCAGAAGCTAGTGCCGAATCGTGAGGTGAGCCCGCCGCAGTGAGAGTCAGCCTCAACCAGGGGGTGGGCCAATCGCCTCTGATCCCCTCTGGCTGACCCGCGTTTTTTGCAGTGCGATGTCCAGGCCTGCTCGCCTCCGCCCTGCCTGCAGGAACTACCGTGCAGGCGAACCCCGCTCGGAGGTGCGGGCCTCGGGGCCTGTTAGCGCCCAGGGCCAAAAAGGCTGCGGGTACGGATGTACATGTATCAGGAGGAAAAGAAACACACAGACACAATTAATCCTCGATTCCCCAGAAAAGATGGGAAAATATGGGAAGTGGGGGGAAGACAGAAACCCAGAAAATATGGAAAAATATGGGGAATATTTTTATTTGTGTGTATTTATTTGTGTGTCCTGGGGCCCCTTCAATGTAATTCGCAACAATTCGCAACAATTCGCCACAGTCCGGGGAGCCAGAGGAGGAGCCGACCTCCCCTCCGACCAGCGTGACGCTGAAGCGAGTGGCACAACCGTGAGGGGACTCTCGTCTTCTGAGATGCCGTCTGGGATGAGGCGGCCACCGCTGCTTCATCTCCCCCCTCCTCTCCTCACAGCGCCGGCCCGGATTCGGGGGCTGCTTCTTGGCCGGCCCAGGGTCGCCACGGTGGCTTCGGTCGTCGTCGTCGTCGTCGTCGTCGTCGGTGTCGCTCTCGAAATTTCGAGGATCGATGTATTTGTTGGAAGGGTTTATTTGATTTTTTTGGGGGTCTCCCGAGGCCTCCAGAGGCTCTTGGAGCGTCCTGGGACCTCTGCAGGCCTCCGGGGACCTTCAGAGACCTCCAGAGGTCTTGTTAGGCGTCGTCGTCGTCGTCGTCGTCGTCGTCGTCGTCGCGCTCGATGTTTGAGGATCGAGGTTCGAGATTCTAGATTCTTGGACGCTTCGTCTTTTTATGGGGCTCTGGAGGTCTCTGGATGCGTCGCTTTGATGCGGGTACGCCTTACGGTAAAATCCGCTGCATGCCTTGTGTTGGGCTTCCTTCTTGCCCCTGCTGTCCCTCGGCTCCATGTCGCTCTAGAAGCCCGCCTGCCCGATATAGCCGGCCATGCTCTTCAGGATCTTCACGCACCCCTCGACTCGGGAAAGCTCGCCTTCGAATAGGCAGAGCATGCACCAAGGCACCCTTCTTCGCCTGTTCTGGTCTGCGGGCTTGTTGCCCAATACCTCCCTACATCTTTGATGACTATTGTGATGATGATGCTTATGATGTTGATGCTGTTCATGATGATGATGATGATGATGATGATGATGATGATGATGATGATGATGATGATGATAATGCTGATGCTGCTGCTGCTGATGATGATAATGCTGATGCTGCTTCTGATGCTGCTGCTGATGATGATGCTGATGATGATGCTGATGATGAAGATTATGATGATGATGATGATGATGATGATGATGATGATGATGATGATGATGATGATGATGATGATGATGATGATGATGATGATGCTGCTGATGATAATGCTGATGCTGCTTCTGATGCTGCTGATGATGATGATGATGATGATGATGATGCAGATGAATATGATGATGATGATGATGATGATGATGATGATGATGATGATGATGATGATGATGATGATGATGATGCTGCTGCTGATGATGATGATGATGATGATGATGATGATGCTGATGCTGATGCTGATGCTGATGCTGATGCTGATGCTGATGCTGGTGCTGATGATGGTGGTGGTGGTGGTGATGATGATGCTGCTGCTGCTGCTGCTGATGATGATGATGATGATGATGATGAGGAGGAGGAGGAGGAGGAGGAGGAGGAGGAGGAGGAGGAGGATGATGATGATGATGATGATGATGGTGGTCCTTCCTTTCGAAGTTTAATGCCTTACGAGGGGGGCTGAGAGGCAGAATGCTTGCATTCCGTAGCCTTCGGCTCTCGAGCTCGTGCCGCGGCGGAACCGCGGTGCATGGCTTGGATCGTCCTCCCGGACGGCTTGCTGGGGGTGCCAGATCGCTGGGGGGTGCCTGCGCTGCAGGCCTGGATCGCCCGCTGCCCAGCGACGCACATCCCTGCCTTCCCTTCGTGCCCGGCGTGTCCGCCGTGCCCAGGGGCGACTGTGGGTGTGACACCGGGGACCGTTACCCTGGCTTGCGCCGGAGCGGCGCTGGCCGGCGCCTCCATCGGCGCGCTGGCCGCCGTGGTGGCGCTTCGGCTGTACGGCCCGCTCCGCTTCACCACCGACGCCACGGGTCCGCTGCCCGGCGTCTCGGCCTCGTCCCCAGGTGCGCCAGCGGGTCCTTCGGCCTCTCTGGCTCTTCCTGGTACTAGAGATGGCAGAGGCGTGGGCGTGGGTCCTGTACAACGTGGGCGGCGCGCCGCTGTTCCACCAGAGGAGGGAAGTGGGCCGATTGGCACTCACGGATGACATGTTGATCGTGTCGCCCGACGACACGGTGCATGCGGAGCGGCTGCTGGCGGCTGGGCCCGACATCGCGGCGGTCCGCTTCTCAGCGGTGCGCTGGCCGCTGCCGCTGGGGTTCGCGCCGGAGGCGACGTATCGCTTCGTGCGCGTGCCGTCGGCCGCGCGCGAGGCCGTCTGGCTGGCGGCCGCCACCGCCGAGGCAGACGCCCAGTTCGCCCGCCGGCATCCAGGCGTGGCGATCCCAGCCGGGGGCGCGCTTCTCCCCATGGACGGCGGGCTCCTCCCAGGGGCGGCCCCGCCGCTGGCGGCTGGGGCCTTGGTCGCAAGAGGGCATCCGCCCGCGGTGGCGGCCGCCGTGGTCGCACGTGGTGTGCTCCTTCCGGCCAGCGTAGTGCCCGCCTCGGCGCTGCCCCCGGCGGTGCCGCCTCGCGCCCCTCTGGCGGCCGGCGCCGTGGCCGCGCCCGTCGCCGGTGGGGCGCTTCCCGCCAACGGCGCGCCGCCGGGCCCGGGGTAGAAGGACGACGCCCCTTGGCCTGTGTGTGAATCCCCCTACTTTCCTCCTATCTTGCTCATATCCATCGCCCCTTTCGGCTCGGATGCAGGTACTCGTACACAGAGGGAATCCCCCTACTTTCCTCCTATCTTGCTCATATCCATCGCCCCTTTCGGCTCGGATGCAGGTACTCGTACTCAGAGGGTGAAGTGGACAACTTCCATCATCCTCATCACGTCTACCTACGGACACTTTGGGGGTGGGTTCGGTCCTTCGGTCCCCCTCCCCCTCACACAGGTTATCAGCCTTCTCTGTTCAAAACGCAATCGCTCCAACTTCCGCGCTTCCTGAGCCCCCCACTCAGTCGCGATGGAGGGCGGTGCGCCTCTCGGCCCCGCGCCTCTTCGCGACGGCGTGGCGGACCCCGTGGCGCGCAACTTGGAGCAGGAGATTGAAGTTTTGATGGACGTGCATGGCATCCCGCGAGCTGATCGTGTGGCCATTTCTCCAGGTACTGAGGGTCTTGACGCTGGACAAGGACACGCTCCTGGTACTCCTCAGTTCCAGGCCCCTTCCTCGTCGTCAGTCGTTCATCCCGTCGCGTCGCCCGTCGTGTCGGATGCAGCGGGAGACCGCAGCTCGGGTGCTGCGCAGCATCTCTTTCAGAGCGCTGAGGTCCTCGTGCCACGGAATGATCCGCCCAGAAATGCTGTCAGAGCGAGACACCCTGTGGCTCCTGGAGATCCTCAGCTCCAGACTCCTCAACCTCCTCAAAATCTGACCCCGACTTTTCGGGCCCCTGCTGGGGGGGCCCACTCGGAGGCTCTTTCGCCTCCACAGGGAAGTCCCGTGCGGAGAGGCTCTGGAGGATCTCGCCGCTGGGGCGGGAGTCACGCGAACGCCGGCGCGCCAGGACGGAACCCAGTCACCCGTGCCGTGACGCCAGTCCGAGAGCACATCCGCGCCCTCGAGTTTCGTGCTCAGACCCGCGACGGCGCAGCCTTCGCCGGTCGTCAAGTCACTGTTTCTCGTTCTCGCGCAGCTTCGCCTCGTGACAGACGTGGCCCCGAACAGTTCCAGATTGCAGCCCAGGATTTGCACAGCCGCAGTCCCTCCCAGAGGGCACGAAGACGCGCTGTCAGCTCACCTGTGGCTGCGCCTGCCGCCGTCCCCCTAACAGATATGGCTGAGCTAAGAGACCAGGTACAGACGTATGTGGAGCATCAGACTGCTCTCGTGCACCGGGCAACCGCCACTGAGACTGCGATCTTGCGATCGGATCTCGCTAAAGGTTTGCAGGAAGTCGACGCTAGGTTGTACGAGGATCGTCACGTCATGTGTCAACTCGTTTCGAAGGTCGAT